AATTTTAAAATTTCATTACTTTGGGATATATTCCTCGTTCACCAAATTTGGAGATTGGTCATGAGACCGGCCGCAAATTTGTCCGAGACGTTTTGAAAACAGATAGCTGGAATCGGCCAGCAATTGTCGGTCGGTTAATATTTTGCGCCACTGCATTATGACCATGCTGGGGGGTTCACCCAGCACAGTGTGAGCGACGGACTTGTGAACATGTCTTATAGGGTTCCCTTGTCCTGTCCTCCAGACTGTAGGTGTCAGGTGAGACGGTCTCAATCATAGTTGAACTAATGCAAGGTTTATCCACGCGCAGCTGCGCCTTGCGGATGTCATTTGTTATTCCGCCCAGTGATATATATGGGTTAGAAATCATGGACATGGGTTAGAAATCCGGACAAAATCGAGTCCGGTTATGTACCTTACAATTAGTTTGTACTTAATAACCGGACACGAAAATAAATGAACTGCACTACCGGACATTCTAAAAACTCGTTAGGTTAGGGTTAGAGTTAGGTTTAGGTGTGTATAATAGTCCAGGAAACCTATTGAAAAAAGGGGGTCAACCTAGAACAAATCGCAAAAGAATTTTCTCCATCACCATAACATGCAGAAAGGCCTCAGAAAAGACATATAAAAAATCCTCTAAAATATAATTGGTGGAAAGGCTTCAAATCAGTGATTTTTAAAATGGCCGCCAAAGTAATCTATATGTTGATATGCAGCGGTTTGAATTAGTAGACTGGAATAGTTTTGATGCCCAAAACCAATTTTTTTAGGCTAATAAATCAAATGATATCTATATTTTGAGCTCAATTATATAAACTATGAAACAATGCGATATTTTGTAATAAAAATACCATTTTATCGATAATTTTATGCTTTTTAAAGTTCGATGAATTCTCAGCGTTTCGTTTTTTTCTTCTTCTACTGATAAAATTTGACATATATGTATTTGTCTCATGGTTGAATTAATACAAGGTTGACCCACGCGCAGCTGCTCTTTGCGGATGTCGTTTGTTGTTCCGACTGTGACGTCACCGTGGGCCCAAAATGTAAATACTGTCGCGAAAGACGTCGTTTTTGTGCCGATTTTGAGGTCAATTTAAAAAAAATTGCTCTCCTCAAAATTCATATAAAAATCCCAGTAGCTTCAGCTAGTCTGTCTCTAAGTATATAGGGCTTACTGAGCAATTCTATAGTGTAAAACAAATAAATTCGAAACAAACAAACAGGGCCGACTTGCTGAGAGGCCGTAATCGGTAAGGAGTTCCTGTCCGATCATTCAGAAGATGACAATAAAAAATGAAGCTCTCTCCTCAACGAATCCCGCTTATGTCAAGTGAGTTGATGTCTAATTATCTCTGATTAATTATGTCAGTTTTAATCTGATACTTCTCAATTTATTTACGATGTTGTACATGTTTCAGCGAGACTGTGAGTAGAATCAGATCCTTGTATTTGATGTGACACTAACACCTAGGCTACTAAGGCAGCAGGTAAGGCCAATGGCATGCCTAGAGATTAAATCAAAATACTGTTTTGTGTTTATGTTAGCCTGTTAGGGGCTAAGAAAGTGAGGAAAATTACCAGATATTTAAAATTACCTAGGTAATAAAGTTATTGATGAATGATGATGATATAATTGGTATCAAAGAAAAAGAATCCTCATAGTTGGATATTACTATTAGAATAGCCTATTTGTGCATCCTGGCAATTGGTGCTGCAAGGTGAAATTTGGCAGGGGAACCCAGCGGCAAGGGGTAATATACCTAGGTACAAACATGTGCTAAGCTATGTGCACATATGAATCATATGTGATAGCCACCAAATAATTAGGGTAGAATTCTGGGAATGTGTGTTCATATATTCAAGATTGATGATCATTGATCCAGCCTACTGAGCCTAGTAGTAGTAGTAGCATGATCAGTCAATGCCAATCAGGTAGAAAATATTAGGTAAATATAAAATAAAATTTAATTGCACATTTTTCAAACATATATTTTATTTTTTATTTTATATTTACCTAATAGCTATTTTGTACCTGATTGGCATTGACTGATCATGCTACTACTACTAGGCTGGATCAATGATCATCAATCTTGAATATATGAACGCACATTCCCAGAATTCTACCCTAATTATTTGGTGGCTATCTATATTGTGTAATTCCAATTTCCAATTATAATGAATAATTGAATATCATTCTTTGGTCTGAACACTGATGAAACTTATTCATGAATCACATTTAAAATATCTGCATCATTTAAGAATACATAAGACACTGTAACTTATAAGTCTCTAGTACTGACAACTGACATTATTCGTTACCTAGTCCTAATTTATTACATGAATCATGAAAGCCAATTTTATCAATAAAATAGCTAATGGGGTGTTTGGGCATTAATGGTGAATTGAGAATATATTTTTCAAGATGGCAAAATCTAATAACTTTACTTCAATTGTTAGTACAAAATTGATGAATTGATAAGTTAATAGATATATTTAATATATATGGAGAAATTAAATAGATGATGAATTTTATAAATATAATAGATCTATATACAAATACTGTTACCATTAATGATATTTATGATTTTGAATTCTTTTCCATATTTTTTATGGCAGCACTGAACGAAAATGCTGGGGACAAATGGCTGCAGATCTGGCACGTCACGCTTTGGTGGGGAACTTCCTTGACCCTATCCGTTCTCGCAGCCCGGCCAATCTTCATACGCCTATGCAATAATATACGTTGCAATTAACTTGATTAATAAAGAAAATAAAAATTTAGGAAACTTAACTTTGTTTCACTGCTATCTCTAGCCCCCATGCGCTTAGTTTTCGTTATTTGCGGAGCGACGCTTCAAATCAAAATCTCATAATCGGCCAAATCAACCACGGCTTCTGCAGCGTTCAATTGAATGCAGTTTTTGTGGGGTCGTCTGAAGCTCATAATCAGCATAACTTTATTACGTTATTTCCTTCGGAGCAAAATGCTGGGCTCTGGAATTATATCAAGTAAATTTCAAGCTTTTTATTAAAATGACTTTCATGTTACCAGTATTCTAGTAATCTGCAAGTTTTTTCTTAGGCAACTTTCGAGTTAAAACAAAATTAATGTCGAAAATGCGATGAAAATTAATTTAAAAATATATAGCATTTGGTCGAAAAGACACAATTCAGAAATTAACTTTGTCACTGAATGAGGATTAAAGTAGATGAAGATATGGCATTATGGGAGTAAAGTAGCTCAAGTATTCAACAATACTCTCAATAATATTATATCCTGCCAGATTAAGTTGTATCGCGCTTCAAACAGCCAAAAGACATAACAAATTGGGCTGATACACAACTCTAATGCTTGTACACATTGAATATATTGCTTATAGCCATGCATCCTAGCAGCCATTTAAAAAATATCAGGGATATAAATAATTGGTTCTTTACTACGCATAATTTAAATTTCTTTTGCTGATCGATTCAATGATACAATAGACAAAATAATTAGAAATTTAGTATTGATATTGGACGATTTGCAGCCATTTATTACAGCGCTTCTCTTTAACTTCACTTCTTGTTTGTCTGTCTGTCTGTACAAATCTTAAAATAAAAATTTAACACACTTCTACTTATCCTATCGATCTGAAATTTTGCACACTTGCGTAGAGTTGAAGACAATGTAAGAATCAAATGACAAAATAAATAATTTTTAAAAAAAAATTTTTTAACATTAAAAAAAATTGAAAAAATAATTTTGTCAGCTACAAATCTTATGACTGATATTTGACACACTTTTAACTGGCCAATTGATCTGAAAATTTTCACACTTGTAGGAAGTCAAAGGCAATGCATGAATCAATTGACAGAATGAATAATTTTGAAATTTTTGATATATTAAAAAAATTTGAAAAGTATTTTTGTAAGGTTCAAGTAAAGGACGACTCCAAATTGATTCGACGATTAACCCTAATCTGCCACCGATCTTAACAAGGGAGGAATGGGAGCATGATAAACAAATATTTATTAAACAAAATGCGTAAATTGAACACTGGTAAATNATTCCATAGTTCGCAATTGCTGTTTCAATCCTCAAACAAAGTATTCAGCACGTAATTGAAACTGTATGTTCTGTCTTTGTCCTGCATTGCATGAGCGTTCATTGTTCTTCATTACTCATAGGTTGAACTAATGAAATAAAATATCTGAAATTGGATCAGAAATCATCAGATTTCAGCCATTCAAAAACTCACACAAAAGATTCTTGAGGTTCATAACCTCAGATTACTTAAAAAGAAACACAAACATCATTATCATGATTCATACCTCTCAAAAAAGCCTGAACATATTTTGCACATAAATTTACAGGAGCAATGCAACTTTCACATCAAAGTTGCCACAAGTTAGAGAGGTACCAACTACCAAGGTAGTCAAAATTGTATTACTTAGTTACTTACCAAATTTTGTAGAATCATTTAGCAATGTAGGTGGCAGATGCTGATCTGGAACAGCATCTTCTTTCAAATTGCGGTAGGTCTTGTCTCGATTGATGCCACACAGCTCAAATCTGAAGTCCCTTTTGTACTGTGCAGCACTAAAATGTTTTCCACAAATTCTTGAGTGCTTCCAGCTATCAACACCTAAGTCTTTTTGACCCGTGCGCAAAATCCACTGATTTTTATATACTTCACTTCTTGGAAATGAGTGAAGCTTATACGCCTTATTTCGTGAAGAAGTTTCACAACCCAGTATGGAGCAGATGGTCATGTTTAGTTTTACTATGTAATGCCAAGACTGTAACACAACTTAAAAATTTAAATGGCAATGAATTTGAAAAAGTGGTTTCTACAGCTTCAAGTGAGTTTTAAATATCTATCATAAGACTGTAGTATCTGTGGAATATTGAGAAAATAAATAACATTGAATTATGATCATTACATTACAGTGCTTCAACATCCTCAAATCAATGCACAATAGCCATAGCCTACACAGTAGGCTAGCACACAATGAAGGCTCAAGGCAGCAGGTAGAAACTACCAGCCTACCATAACTCCACCAAGTGGACAGTCCCAAAAAATTACAAATCAAGCTTCACTGCCCATTGGGCAGTGAAGCTTGATTTGTGAAGTGAAGCTTGATTTGTGAAGTGAAGCTTGATTTGTGCCCAATATAGAACAATGAGATTTCTGCCAGATGAATTATTTACCTCCCATCTTATTGACTTTATTGACTGTTATTGTTTGTGAATTATGCTGCTTTTTTATGCATATCCTTGATAATCCTCCTCAGACTCGTGTGACAGAAAGCTAACGACTAAGTACTAAGTAACAAGTGCAGTAAAGTTTCATCAAAACCAAAAATAATATTTAAAGAATAATTACACTACAAATTATTGGCCACTGACCATCTGACATCCTTTTCTTAGTTCTCTACACCTTCCACTAGCACTTGGCTAGTCACTGTCATCAGTGTCATGCCATGGTCAATGGTGTCACAGTCTGTCAGAACACAGCAATTTACCTCATGGGAAATAATTATTGCATTTACACTCTCTTTAATCTATCATTATTACTTCAAACACTTGATTTTCCTAACGTAAATCTTTCGCCAGTATTCTATCAGCCTCCTACAAATACTAGTAATACTACAATAACTACAATCTACAGCACCAAAAATGTTTCATACCGCATGACGCTTACCGGCTTACGCCAGAGACAGCAACATTGAGAGTCCGTTGATCATTTTCAGGACAGCATGACAAGTAATCAATGAACCAAATTATATCATTAAAAAAATTATATATAGCAAAGATGCACGAATATTCTTGGTTAGCTTTTGCCTTTCGAAAATAAAAATTCGTTAAAATTGCGCTTCCTTTCATCGACCGTTAGCTGAGTGGCAGCCATTACTCCTTTCTGCCCAGCCCTTGTCTGTCGGCCCATCATGTTTCCCATTTATTTAATTTACACTCCACGAAACTGATTTGTAACACCGGCTTTGCTTAAAATAACACTTGTTGCAGCAAATACAGTTTTTTGGACCATTTTGAGGAGGTCAAACTTTTTAAATTTCTTTTCAAATATGGCACAAAAACAACGTGTTGATCTCCACTGTTTACATTTTTGGCCCACGTTGACGTCACACGAGACATGCGCAGAACGGCGAAAAAATCGTCGTCGCCGTGGGTCAACCTTGTATTAATTCAACCATGGGTTTGCCATTCTTATTAGATTTTAACCACCAATGTATGGAAATTTGTAAAATTTCGCTAATGATAGCGTTCCATGCTTTCTGCCTGCTACATTTAGGATTGTTGTTCCACTTTCGTAAACAATCTAGTTCTAAAATGCCGCATCGTCATCTATGACTAGCGTTTAGCCTGAATTACGGTTTTTGACTTTGTTGCGGTTATTTGTCGGTTCCCACTAACTTATCGTCTTCTGGTGCATTATTTCCAAGTTTTCATTCATAATTTGGGATATTAAGCCACGTCGAGTCAGTAAAGCATGAAAATATTCTCAAGGCTCACGATTCTTGTCATTTAATTGTCGATTTTCAAATGAGATGCCCTCATAAGCTTTCCGTCCAAAAATATCTACTTTGTTGGTTAACTGTTTTATTGATTTCGAACAAATTTTCGTACAGGTCCAAAATTGTCCATTTCGAGGGCTGTATCGAATCAACGGCAGGCGTCGCCGCCCTCGCATCGGCAGCAGTTGCTACAGCAAGCTTGCTCATCCGCATCGAGACTCCACTCGACCTCAGCCCTCTGCTCGGCAAATATACTCACCTACGTCAGTTCAATCAATGAGAACTTCCATAAAACTTTTTTTGAAATTTGAAAATACTAACACGAAGCATGCATGTTGCTTACCGAATCATATTTTCATTCGTATGATGCCTGATTACTGATAACACCTCTTTCTAATATAACCTAACATTATTCTGGAAGTATTTTTTCATTTATAATATCTCAGTTTGTGTATGCCCAGGCCCTGGTATTTCAGCTGGCTTTAAAGAAATTAGTATTTCTGAGAGATTTCAACACCGTGCATCAAAGTCTCTCAACTAATGAAATAGTTCCTCCAAACTTTTTTGATAAATTTGCAATACATATTTATCTAAATTTGTTAGTAGTTAATTGATGGTTCAACGAATTGAAGAAGGATATTCTAGCTTCTTGTGATAAAGGTCGGCTTCATAGAATTTCATTCGCGCCCACCTGCCACCGCTGACTTTTTGCTTGCTTCCTGACGATGTTCTCACTCCGTTGCGAGAACAGTTTAAACCGAAAACCCTTCCTGGCGATGCTCTCACTCCGTTGCGAGAACAGTTTAAACCGAAAACCCTTCCTGACGATGCTCTCACTCCGTTGCGAGAACAGTTTAAACCAAAAACCATAGAAAACCTCTGTCCTTTCTGCCATACCTTACACTAACGTTTGATATTATCGAAATAGCTTCATCTTATTCATACCCTCAGGCGTTTGCACTCCAGTGATCCACACCTCTATACAAGCCATGCCTCTTCCAGTTCATCCTCCTCCCCATCTCACTCTACTGGGACCATTTTTTAGAGGCCGAAAGGCTGTTGTTCAGACGGTTCGGATATTTGCTCCAGACAACCTGAGGTGAGTCGTTAAGTTTTCTATTGTTTGCCTGAAGTATCTGCTCTCCACAAACGGTTCCCGCAATTACACAATACCTTTAATACCTAAAAAGTATTAATACCTAAAAGGTATTAAAGGCTCCAAAACCAAACAAGCCGTCCCAAACCTCAAACACATTAGCATACAATATGACACACCAGAACACAAAAAGCCATCTTCCGCAAGCACTGGCAGAACATATTCACACAGGAGGACACAGACAATGAAGACGTTGACCTTAAACAATTCCACACCATGCAAGACCACGTCAACAGCAGCATACAGCTCATTCACCGATATAATTACGGCGAGCTCCCGCGACGCCACCCTGCAGACTACCCATCAACTACCGTTAGAGAACTACAGCGCACAATTAAAAATTTGAATAGAAAAGAACCTGGTCCCATAGGAATCATCGTCCTCCAACTTGAATACCTACCCAAAAACATGATCCACTATCTTCTATTTAATAGTCAATCATGCCTTCTTCGCTGGTTATTTCTCGGGGACAGTACTACACGCCTTCGTGATCGTTTTCCTCAAACCAAAACATCAACACACCAAGTCCAAAATTTTAGACCGGGGCAGCTAGACATCAACAGGAAGCCTTTAGATAAATACTGAACAACGGCATAAACGAACACTTTCCCATTCACAACATACATAACACAAGACAACACGGTTTTAGGAATCACAGAGGGACAAACACAGCACTAGCCACATTCCACGAAACACTCGCCATACATTTAGCCCGAAGACACACCACTGAAACAGTACTCAGCGATGTGACCGAAGCCTTTGACAAAGTCAGTTAAACCAGACTCAATACAAAATTATCCATTGCAATATCCACCTGCCCTTCACCAAAACATTTTCTGACTACCTCTCAGACAGGACAGCATCCATCAGAATATCACATAAGTCTCCCACTATAAATCCACACATGCGTCTTCGGTCTTCCAAAGGGCTTGTCTCTCCCCCACTTAATACAGCTTCTACAGCAACGACCTCCACCACCACTACACAACAGACTACATTGATTTTGCCGATGACATAACACAAATAACCACAGGAGATTAACCACACAACCAAGCATCAGTACAAACACAACACGCCATACAACAGATCAAAACTTACGAAAACAATTGGTTCATTAGGACAAACGTAAATAAATTTATAATTGCCGCCACCATTAGGCGAACCACTTCCGATATTTTCCGATATGGATGGCGGGGGTTGTATAAACACCCGCCATCCATGCACGAACAATGGAACGGTTGTAAGATTACATTTCACTACAAACGGATTCAGCTTCTTATAAGTAAAAAGAAAAGCAATGTCCCGTAAAAATTGATGCAAAATACACACATTTTCCCATTTTCACTCCCAACATAAAACGTCCGGGGACTCATGACGGGTTCCACCCCTCCCCTTCCCAACCCCAATCAAACCCCACACACCTACAAGCAACCCAATAATGCGCCTTTTTCATTTACTGATGTGCTTTCCATTTCTCCTTCCTCTTTCTGTCCATTCTATGCCATCTTTTGTTCTCCACTCTTTCTTAGAGACACCGCGCAGCAACCAGTTCCATTTTGCGTTGTGTTTGCGACTGGAATCAGACGATCTGAACGTTCGTACGTTAAATCTCCTTTCTCTCAAAATAAGTAGAATTAAAATTCAGCATTACAACGGAACAAGTTATGCTGTGCAACATCTATCGGAAGTAGTTTTTTATCAAAGAATCTACCAAGAGAAACTTTGAGGCAGAAATTACTACTAAAATCATCGCAGGGCCTAATACCTAATTTAACCGGACCTAACCTAACCCCATTGGCCATGGAAATGTAGAGAGGCGGAGCAAGTGAAAGAGTCGTAGGTTATAGGCCGCAAAAAAAAGAGAAAAAATGGGGTAAGTGTTGAGTTTTGGTGCGTGCTATGTTCTATTCTGTTGAGTTCGGCGTGATTACCTAAAGTTGTGTATGGTTAAACGATTGCTGTTGACTGTCGGCTCTATGACGTTGAGCAGTGCAGAGCTGGTCTGGATTACGTAGTTCAAGTGTAGTCAGCGGTTTCTATCTCGAACGCTAAGTGTTTATATAATTATTGCATGCTGAGGCTGGGCGTTGGCTACACGGCTAGTTTAGGAGTTGGTTTGTGGCCCATAGCTTTGCCCACACTTGAATTAAGTAAGTAGATTGATTACCGCCACGTAAAAAGCGGTTCTCCAGCTTGTGAACGAACGGTTGAAATGCAGGCAAATAGTGTCTGTTTCCTGAGCGGAAAAACGTTTTTCCAATTCATGCGCAATGTCTTGCTGCACTACGTAAAGTGAAGTCGACGCAACAATTAGTTTTTTCTCAAGTAAATATTACATATTATAGATACCTTTGCCGCACTTTTTTTACTCACATCAGAATTTACGTCATTTGTAGATTCATCCATTGTTTACCGAATATCACTGTACCGTCAGGTATGATGCCATATCGCTGATCAACTACCGGCCAACGCCTGGCGAACTGTTTGCCCTGACGCTGGACCTGTCTTTAGCGGGCATCAGAACCCGCTTCTCCGAGGATATGTCTTCCGTGTGAGTCTTCCGTGTGTTTTTCTCATCCTTCTAACTCTAGAGATTCCCAATGTCTGATGTATCTTACCTATCATGCCTTTCTATTAATACTTGTAGAAGTCTAACATAGTAAGTACGCTCTCCTACGCGGCGGAAGCTTTGAAAGGAATGATAGTAAAAAATGGATAACAGGCGAGGCTGAATGGTGCGATATAAGTGAATTAATTCAAGTGCAATTAAATTAAATGAGTTTAAATCATATAAATCTTCTTATTTATATTTATTGATTGAACGTTTGAGAATATGAATACAAACATAGCAAATAAACAGCATAGATAAAAGTCGCAATCATTCATTATCAATCAGTGTAATTCATGAATACAGGTAGCTGATAATTTGATGAGTCATTTTGTCTATCATGAGCTGAAATGACGCCATTTTGAGAGGTTTTGGCGATACCCGGCAACACAGCAGCCTCAATTAACTGTTCCTCAAAGTGCGAATTGTGAATTGTTACCCTATCGAAATTCGAAGACCTGTCAGCCGCTGGCACACGGACGCCGCAAGTTCTTATGGCAGGGTAAATTAGAAGCTCTATGTCCGCATTAGGTTCCGGTTGCCGTAGCGAAATAAGCGCCGAAATGGAATCTTGTGAAATTACTCGTCGAGCTTGGGGCTGTCTCTTATACACATCTAGATGTGTATAAGAGACAGCCACATACCCCCGTATGGCGGGAACTTCGATTGTTCGTGCGTTTACCTTGTTCAGCATCTGATCAGCCCCATCGTGCGATAGCGTCATCAGCGTTTGACCAGGGGCATCATGACGAAGCTTGACCAGCTGCTCTCTTTAATCATATTACGCAGATTTGGCCTACCGGGCAATTGACTTCCAAAAGAGGCTGGTAAATAGAAGCAAAACACCCTACGTGGCCGACTTGCTCCTGATTCACCCCTAAGCCGAATATAGTTCCTCTAAAACGACCTTAATCGGCACGAAAATTTTGACAGGGTGCTCCTGATTCACCCCTAAGCCGAATATAGTTCCTCTAAAACGACCTTAATCGGCACGAAAATTTTGACAGGGTATGGGAGCTTTTATGGATCTTTTGAATGTAACGGAGAAATTTTCAAACGAGAAAAAGAAGAATGGTGATTTTTGTAGTTGCATGTTCTCACTCATGACAATGAGTTTTGTATCTCATTTGGGTATTTGGGTCCCAGTGACGCATGATTGGTCGTGTTGTGGTGCATGCGAAGTTCGTAAGACCCCTACTAGCGTTTTCGCATCAATTTTTGTGTTGCAAATAACTCAGCAATATACAAACAATGAAAATTTCAAACCTAAATTTACATTTTTCAGATCTAAGCACGAGATCAGCCTAAATGTCGGTCATCTCCCCCATACGGACCGCATCAGGTGAGTGTGCTGAATACACCAACCCAGTGAAATAAAATCGGATATTTACATCATATTTAAGAGTATTTTTCACTTTGAAATAGCAAATAATTATATTGAATTGAAGTCAATGATTTATATAATTATTGACAAAATTCAGTACTTTTATTAGGCATAATCTATGTATCTATTGCTGGAATTCTTGAAAGCTTCAGGTTTTTGTATTTAAACGACACTAAAAATTGCGCTGGTTCGACTCTTGCTCATTGGAATTTAAGATTAATATTATATCACCGTTAGAAAAATGACGATTCCATTGAAAATTCTTGATTGGTATTTAATGCCAGGCTCCTTCAGAACAAGTTGGTATCAGAGGAAACCTCGAGCTCCTTGTTCCAAGCGCGTGAAATGGAGAACCTCGAGAACATGCAGGCAAGATTCTGGAACGCGTTTGGAGCTTTCCAGCTCGCCCCTAAATTCATGGCATTCATTGTAGACCACTGTTCACCTGGCAAAGAAAAGTTCAAGAACTTCCACGAATACCTGCAAGCGTTACGACATCGTGCCCTTCCCAAGGATGAATACGAAGAATGGCTACACTTCGCCGCGCCCTCAGTAGATGACTCGTCCAAGTGGCCGTTCATGAGCACGAGTTCCCTGTACAACGTGCTTATGGCTCTCGTCCGAGTCAGGGAAGAAAGCGACGTGGTAGCGGAAGAGCCGTTTGCCCTAAAGCCCCTGAGTACCAATATTTCGCGGAAAGACGTCTCTGTCCAGACCAACATCATTGAAGAAATGTCTAGTGTAACTGATGCAGCAAAAATTATTCCTGTAATCCGTTCCGGAACAGTTATGTCCGCTCAGACACGAAATATCGACGTAGATGAGGAGGAAGAAGCTCAAACGATGGATTCACCTTCAAGACAGAAAATACTCAGGAACGTGACCGTGGAAGCCAATGACGTTTCACAGCTCATTAATGCAGCAAATCTAGTGAACGACATTGCAAACGATGTAGCTCACAAATATTCAGCGATGTCCAACCCCCTTAATTTTAATAAAATAATTTCTGCGGTCATCACCATGGTTATTCATGCTGGAGTGCTTTGTCTGCTACCGGAATCTGAAATCAATTATCAGATCTCTCACTTGAAGGCTCGGTTCTGCCAAGATGGCTTGGAAAACACCGTATCGAATTGGTGCGCATTCATCGCTGAGAGCAGAAGGGAAACTGCTCGTCGACAATGGCTCCGTGAAGTACCTTGCGTTGAATGGATATTTGGGGTTAGAGTGAAGCAACATGCCCTATGCCATTCAACCAAGTTGAAGCCCATGCATCCAAAGAACAGAAACGACATATCTTATAAAGATATGTTTCGATGTTTTGGGAGGGTCATCGTCGTGTCCGGCGTTGCTGGAGCTGGAAAAAGTACCTTATTGACATCAATAGTTCAGGATTTCTGCAAACAACAGTTGCATGGAACAAAATCAGATTATCTTCAGGAGTTCGGTTATCTGCTACGCATAGATGCTAGGGACCTGCAATCAAAGACCCTCGGAGAATCCGTTTTATTTACTTTAACGGGAAAGAGTGATCCGAGCGAAGCCATCGACTGCTTGAGAGCCTTGCTACGCCTCGACACCCTCTTCTTGGTGGACAACGTGGACGAAGCCAACGACATCTCTGGGGCCGCTCTCCTCGAGCTCATCGACAAGATCTGGTTGGGCAACAGCCGCGTTGTTGTCACATGCCATCCGTCCTCCGTCGCATGGTTAACCAATACTCTCACTGAGCACCAGACCTCTTTTGCTGAATACACCATCTTGCCGCTAACGAAACTGAGGGAAAAACTCCGATTTTTGGAGAAATATGGTCAGTGTGTTTGTTTCATTGGAAATGATCCTCCAAACATGTCAGAAGTCTCATCGCGGAAGATCCCAGAAACTCAGAAATGCTCAACCTCACAAAAAACTCCACCACATCCAACCTTCCCGGAGACTGAACTTTCCCGAGCAAGCTCAACCGCTCAGTTAGTGAAATCGTGTTTCAGAGCCTTGCCTAAAGATGTGAGAGCTGGTTTCACCGAGCCAATGTTTCTGGTGCTTTTCTGGCACTTTGTCTGGCATCGACCGTCCAAGGCAGAAAATTGGAAGTCTTTTGCCGATGTCACTAACGACATGTTGCTTTTGTTTAGTGCTACAGCCGCGGAAGAAAATATAAGAACCTCAAGCTGTTGTCAACAAAGCGAAAGTCTCTCCTTGTTGTCAGATCTTGGTGCTCGCGCTCTGAGTCTCCTGAGGAGTGAACGGACAAGTTTCTCGGTGGGCCACCTTCCTCAGTCAGAATTTGAGGTGGTGGACCACCTCACTAATCGCATCACTGCAGATATGATTTGCTCAGGAGTCTTGAGAAATACGTGCATTTTCAATTGCACTAGGATGGGGCCAAATCACCACTGCTTTCCGCACGTGTCGTTGACGGAACATCTTGCAGCGAGGCACGTTCTTCACAGACTCTCTGAGAGCGGAGCTTCATTGATCGATATTCTAGAAGGTTCACCAACGGACAACGGCAGGTGAGTCATGTGGTTATGATTGAGTAAGTGGAAAGAATATGAGTATGATTTTGATAATTATCTTCATTATTATAAAATACCTTCAAACAACCCATGAGAAGATTAAAACATCTAAGTGCAGACACATGTTATCGTCGAATTTTTAAATTATTCTTATGAACGAATCTATGATTCATTCAATTATAGTTAATTGTTCATTTATTTGTTATTTGATTGTATTAAGTTTATTAAAAATTGTTTTGTAACTTTTGGATTATTCGATTTACAATCAACAAATTCTCAAAAGAGAAATTACGAAGATAATCCGTACAAAATTAACCACCGCAGGTACCTCGGCATGCTACCATTACTGATGGAGGACATGGCGAAAATGAGACCTAATCTTCTGGAGGAAAGATGGCCTGAGTTGCGCGACGCCCTTCACGCCGGCGGCGCCACCTACCAACACTGGCAGGAGCTAATGTGGCGCTGCGGGGATGTGCTCTGTGTGGTGCGCCATGCCGCTCAACTAACGTACGAAGCAGGAGGCGATTGGGACCTCGAAACCGGTGAGCAGTCTCATTTTATAATGGGACCAAACCACTTACTTGTCCTAGGGCTGCAGTGTGCATTCAAAAGACGCTCAAGTATGTATAGCAGTCTAAGTCCTTAGTCTGCTATACACCCTTAGCGGTCTTAAGTACACGAAACGGCTTAACCCTCTACCGCCATATGTCACTATCCGGGATCATACAATTATACGTTAACTATTGTTTGTAGCAAACTGAGTACGTTTGTACGCAACAGAGAACATTTTTAAGTTGTCGTACGTGGCGGCAACCATCAGTGCAAGTCATTTTGCGCTCACTAGAACGTATCCATTTTGGGAAATAGGCGCGTGACAATATTGCTCCGGTTACTCGTGTCAGGCGGTAAAGGGTTAAGCACACAAAGTGGCTTTTTTTACAGGCTCATTTATCAGCCTTATTGCACGGCGCAACCTATGTGCACGTAAAGGCCTAGGTACAAGTAGTAGCTGATTTTTCGTTTATGATTGGTGAGTTTAGCTTGAGAAGCCTCCAGTGATTAGCAGATGAAGTTACGAATATTTAAATATTTTTGGTAGAACCGCTCCTGATAGTTTGTGTTGAATGGTTCGAATAGTGTCAGCTTTTATTTTCTGTAATTTTATCAATGCTGAATAATTTTAGTCTACGCGTTGATTTCGTGCAGTGAATAAAGTGAATGAATGTAGAACCTGATCCGCCATCATCTAACCCCAAACTGCCCTGCAGGTCGCCACGTAGCGATAGCGAGACAGATGCTCCCCCACGTTTGTCCCCCAACTTTGAGGGTGTGGATGTCCCCTCAGGAACTTAGGGAAGCCCAGTGGCAAGATCTCCTCCAGCGGCATGAAGGGAAACTTGAACTCAGCCTCATGTTTAGGGGAAATTCCTGTCCCGACGATGACCTGCTTGCACCTTTACTGAACGCAAAGTGAGTGCGGTCTGTGCCTCTCTTTGGTTCACTTTAAATACAATGTTATTGAATTTAAGAGTCTTTGATAAACAGACTTTGATTTATTTAACGAATGATCGGCCCTTTCGCTGTATATCTGTCATCCTTTTATTTGTTATAAATTTGATAATGTTAAATCTAATATTTGCTAAATTGGTTAAAAAATATCAGATTTATTTTATTTATTTATTTCTGCAGATGTCAGCTAACCTGGTTCAGTGGCTGTCTCAGCTCCGAAGTCAGCATAGAGGCGCTTAGCTCAGTGGCCGCATCAGCTCAACTTGAGATAACCTTACAGCGTCCACTGGACCTGAGCCCTTTGAGCGGGAAGTGCAGCTGGGTCTGTGAGTATCAAGGTTTTTAATGATATGAAATCAATTTTCCTTTAATTTTAAACAAATTCATGGAACCACTTTATATTTTTCTACCTGGGAGCCTTACTCAAAAATAGTTACGAATTCGTAACTCCAGCCAATCACTGACGGCTTATAATGCTAAACCCACCCATTACAGCGGAAAAATCGGCAGCTACTTGTACTTAGGTCGCTTCGTGTACATGAGCGGCCACTTGTACTAAGCGAATTTTGATAGTACGGCCCCAAGTGTAATATTCATTTTGTGAAACATTTCATAATTTTCTACAATTTTCTCGAACTGTAGGTGTGCGGACGGGCATTTTCAGCAGCGACTGGACAGCACCTGCTGTTGCTCCGCCGTCCGATACGATGGCAGAAGCTGTTGCAAGGTTGCCCATTTCTCTGTGGGTGCGGGGAGCTACGCAAGGCTCCTGTCAAGCTGTCTTACAAACCATCTTGTTCCTCTCAACTGCTGCGGGGAATCGGTCAGTTTGAGCAACGCAGAGATAAGTAACACGTATTAAAAATTATTTAATTTACTGTCATTTTTATTATTATTATTTCATGATGTTAAAAATTTACGGTTGTGATTTTGCCGCGCCGTCTCATAATAAATTGCATGCGCATACATGATTGATAGATTTAGAAGTTTATGGGGCATTGAATGAAGGATTAAAATTGAGAGAGCTATTGTCCAAATACGATGCACTATTGCCCGTATATGGGTCATCCAGACCCATTGTTGCCGGCAAAGAGGACGTATCAGGGCTACATTTAATTTCTGTTCGTGCAGTGAGTGTGTGTAAAGTATTGTATACATATGTGTTGACTATTGTATACATAGTAAATATACATATGTGTTGACTGATATTGTTATAGCCCTTGGTGAACAGTTAGATCCGAATTTTTATTTGAATTACGTTTAAGGTAAATCGCATACCAGAATCAATAAATAACCCCGCTTATTTTTTACTGTTTTAATTTTTATTTCTTGTTTATAAATGAATAGCCCCATAAGCGAACATTCAGCTAATGCATCCAACTGACATTGTCACTACCCTCAGGCTGGAGCAGCTGGTGCTGGTGTCCCCCACCCTGGAGGAGAGGGAACTGCAGCAGCTGCTGCTGTGTCTGTGGCAAGTGAGGCTGAGGGCTGGACCCTGTAGAAACCCCACAGAGGACTTCATGGAGGTCCGTTCGGGGGATCCGACATCGGTTCTTAAGAGGGTTAACACGGAGGTCCACACCGAGGACACCCAGGGAAGCCCTACTGAGGGTCCTATTGAGAGCCCTACGGAGAATGCCATGGGACTCCCCTCCCACTATGACAGGTCAGGACTAGTTGTTTATCACAAAACGTAAATTTCTGGAATTCCACTCGTATCTCAAATATATTGATAATAGTGACTTTTATAATAAGCTGTATGGATGCCACTTAATTATTCAAAGACGTAATTCGACCAAAACTAATCGTGAATATTTTTTGTGTGACGCATGCGGCCCGGAAAGAAAGACTTCGCTTTAGATGTTAATCGTTTGAAAATTAATTTTCATTCTCATTCATTTATTTTGGTGGCTTATTTTAATTTTCCTGCAGCACATCTTATGAAGCTGGGAGACTAGGAATTCCTGTACGTGATCAAGTCAGTTTTTTTCGTTTTCGGGAGTTCACTTACTGTGCTTATTGAGTCCTTTGACATTATGTCCTGCTAATCGGCATCCATCTCATAAGATTCTCATAACATGACCACCAATTTACTTACTTCAGAATTCTGTTGTCTCTTCCAGTTTCGAACCCTTGTTGGCAAGTCTACCATTGATAAGAAAATTTATAATTTATTGCAGAACAAACTACTGCTTTTATCATTATCCAAATAATCTTGAAATAAATATATAATTAAATTCACCTCTCTTCATGCTCTGCACTTTAAAAAAATCGTGGTAAAATCATGTTTAAATATTTCAAATAAGATCATAACTTAATGCACCTGTCGGAAAATGTTAATTTCACTGTTGTATGCACAAGCAAAATATTGTATGTGTTAAATCCTTTTTCACAGGACTGGTTCTTTGGTGTGGCTCTTCATCAACTCGCAGCCTCCTAAAGACCACGAAGGCGAGTGATGAATATCACTGCGATTGGAGCAGCGAGTTGGAGGTTCAAGACCCGCAGATAGTTGTGAAAATTCTTTAGAAATCGGCAAGGTGGTTAAGAAACGGTCAGAGAAGAATTTGGCCTCAGCAAAGCTGACACCACTACTTTATATTATGTTGTATTTATATTATATTATATTATATTATATTATGTTATATTATATTATATTATATACAGCACATTTTGCGTAACTGTGCAAATGAAAAAGTTAATGAATGTTGCCGCTCTGAGTTTTTCTTAATGACTATGAACCTTTCCTATCTTCAACAGGAACTATTTTCGCTCATGCTCATTGGTGGGCAGCATTAACCTCATTGTTGCTGCTATGTTATACGCTGCCACAGGTTCTGAACCCAATCGACCAGCTGTAACTGAGCAAGAAGTTGTTACTATGGATTTCTTAGCCGCATATTTGTTATGGCCTCTGTGTTCCATCATTTACCATGTATATTAAACTAAACATTGTCAATGCTAGAGGTTTCGGACGGAAGCATTATGGTTGTTTTACATGATTATTAATCGTTTGCCCAGACGTGTAGAAGGTGGATTTGCTTTCTGATAAATAATTGAACACATAAGATATAAATCGCTTTCTCTCGACTAAATGTAATACCTATTTAAGTGTGCTATGATTAGGGAATTCAAAGTTTCCCTCCGTGTTAAGCTTACCCATGTCTTATTCATATAAGTGTACTAATTTAATATTAATAATTCAATAACTTTCACGTCTGTCTTTTGGATTCATTCCGTAATTTATTTTACATTCGGCTCTCGTAATCCTGTTCAAATAATTTTATTGACCAAACACTCACAGTAAATCTCGTGATTTTATAACGGAAATTGAAAGTTGAATAATTTTATGGTTCTTCAATACCACAAATGATTAGCATAAAGTCATTTGGATAAAATTTATTAATTAGAGTTTATTCCGTCTTGACATCTTAATAGGAGAAGACATCTGGAAATTTTCATACTAAGTATTTATGGCGTTCATACTAAGTTGAGGCGTTCTGGTATCCACGATTCTTGCTTGCTGACACAGCTTCATGATTACACAAAATTTCCAATAAAGCAATCGTGATATAGCAAAATTTCCATTAAGGCATCCGTCACGGCCTAAATTTCCATGGCGGCAATCATGATTGCCTAAATTTGTAAGAAGGCTATCGCAATTTTTTAAAGTTTCCTAAACAGCAGTCATGGTTGATTGAAAATTTTATGAAGGTAATAATGATTACTTAAAATAGTAAAAAATGACATCATGATTTCCTCATAATCAATCAATTTATGGACATCTTCATAAAGGCAATGATGACAGACTAGATTTGCAAGAAGGTAATCATAATCACTTAAAATTTCCAAGAAGGCAAACGTGCCAGCGTCTATATTGCAAAAATGTCACCATGACATTTTTGCATATAAAAAATATAAAAAATAAAAAATATATAAAATTGCTAAAAGTCAATCATAACTGACATAGATCAGCCAAGAGGCAGGCGTGAAGTGAACAGTGAAAAGAGAAGGGCAGGGAAATGAAAATATTAATAACAATACTGTGCTTGCATGCAGACCAAGCGAGTAATTCAAGAGCTGCTATATATACATGCATGCTTGTATTCCGTATACTATATTAAAATTCTTGTCCGAGTTCTACAAATGTAAATAATAATGTACAAAAAATCATTATTATTAATTAATTGAAGTTTTTTATTACTTCTTGATTTAGTTTAATTATGATATTGGACTTAGCAGCTTGCTACTATTCATGTCATATTGATATTGATTATTATTTTGCCATGGACGTCAAAATATTCCGGGTATTTTGTTAAAAATTATCTAGAAATAACTTACACTGAAGATATAACACAAAAAATTCTGCGATAATGATCATTCATGGAAAAATATCACGCAGCAATAGTGATAGTGTGAGAGGAATAATGATATTATCCAGAAACAGGACGAACTTTTTAGGTTATTAGTGAAATAGCCATGATTTTTGTGCCAGTTCGTCAGTTTTTCCATTGACGAACTGATATAGTTATTTGATGAACTGATAAATTATTATGTTAATACAATCTTCCGAGGAACAAAGTTCTTTATTGTCCAACGCTATTACAGGTTTATACTAGAATGTTCAGTAGTAAATCTACTTATTATATATAGTTATACAATAGGCACATCAGGAAACGGACTCCAATACGGGATCATCAGATGGTGTTCGTTCCTCATACGGGATCATCAGATGGTGTCCGTTCCTCATACGGGATCATCATCAGGAAATACATCAGGAATTCGGACTCTAATACGGGATCATCAGATGGTGTCCGTTCCTCATACGGGATCATCATCAGGAAATACATCAGGAACGGACTCTAATACGGGATCATCAGATGGTGCCCGTTCCTGATACGGGATCATCATCAGGAAATACATCAGGAACGGACACCAATATGGGATCCGCATCCAGCTCTTCGCAACAAAACGCAGTTATTATCGTCGAGGTCGCGGAAGAAATCAAAGAGTTTCAAGATATGCTTCAAGTGGACGCGGCAGCTCTTCACAAGATAGACAGGCTAGCACCACAACGAACGCTAGTGGAGGAAACAACTACGGCCGCGGAAATTACTCCACAAGACCAGATGTTGAGTATTATAAATATGGAAACCATACTAGAAATGCTAAGAATGTTAGATAAGAATTAGAAATATTAAAAATGTTACAAATAAAATATTAGAAATGTTAAAATGAACGCAAGTGGAGGAAACAACAACTACGGCCGCTAACAAAACATCGTTAGGACATTGAAAATGCGCTAACAAAACATCGTTAGGATACTTAAACATTTCGTTGAAGCAGAAAATTTCTGTGAGTAGGATTTATTTCTTCCCGAATGCATGAGCGACATAAGTACTGCGTTTAATGTAAGCATAGGCGATTCACCCCATTTCATGTTATTCGCGGATGATAAAGATCACCCTGCAGCAATTCGCTCACCTAAGCAAAATACGCCAGTCTACAATTATGATGATTACTGTAGCGACTCAGAGATTTGCTAAACTTCGAGCGTATTTGAAGTATTGGATGAAAAAAATGCCCAAATGCCTACAACAAAAGAACAGGAAAACTGAAAGGAGACTTCTTCCCATTGATGAACCTTGTTTTGTTAGTCACGTTCCACGCGAAAATGAAAGTAGAAAATTTGCAGCGAACTTCGAAGGACCGTATGTGGTTAAAAATGAATTAACCGAAAACACATATACGGTGAAACAAAGTGTAACCGGTAAATTAAGACTTTCTCAAAACGAGACTTGTTCACGAGTTCCCTAAAGGACGGCACAAAAACCTTGACCATATACTGTATATAAGCCCAGTTTCGTGATAACGCGTATATCTTAGTACGTAATAACATGTTAACTAGACCTAAAAATGCTCTTAGTTCTGCTGTATTATCTGGATGTTGAAAGTATTGGGGTTAAATGAAATAAACAATTCCCCACACAGGGAAAAACGCATCAGGGTCTGATGGCCGTCTTCAATAGGGAAAACTTTCATAATTAATAAATCCTAGCATTCATAAAAAACTAGATAGCATTCATGAAAAAACAAATCGGGTTTATCATGATTATTATTGAAAAAAATTCCACTAATTTAATTTGATATAAATCGACTGATAATATTCGAGTGGCGCCTGCGAGTCGAGTGCTGCCTGCGATAAGCAGCAGAGCAATTATTTCTGATGATTAAAAAACTGCATATATGTATACAATCTAATTTTTTTCAAAATGATGTAACTCAATTTATAGTCATCAATAAATACATCACAAATATATTAACTTCTCTAAAACTATGGTAAATGAAGTACATTTGAGCAGAAGTTTGAACCTAAGCGATAAAAGGTAACAGAAACAATTATTTATTTACACTATTTGTACTTATTGGACGCTATTATCATATCTGTTGTGAAACGTAATAGTAATATTAAGTTGTTGGAACTTTATTTTTGTGATTAAACCGACCAATTGTTGATGATAAATTTGAATTTACGAACAATGTAGCACTTCCGATCACTTTTGAAAATGTCGCCCAAATTTTTCTCCGAAGCGATGAACATGAAACTTCGCATCACGTAGCTTCTCTAAATCATAACAAAATCGTTCAAAATATTTCTTCATGGAAAATAACTCTCAAATCAAGTTGAAGTTTAATTTTAAAACAAATTGCCGAGTATTTCACTCACAATTATACTTTCTTCAGGTAAAAAGTGTTCGACATTTTAAGCTGGAATCATTTTAGGCTCGCCTAATCCCGTAGCAGTAGAAAAATTATTTTGCTCCGTACCCAGGCACACATGTCAAGACCTGTACAAAATAAAGCAAAACAAACAAAGTCATACACTATAAGACAAGAACGCCGATGCATGCTTCTCAGTTTGAAAATTTCCGCTTTATTTTTTGATCATCTTACGGTCGATCCGAATAGAATTTTGTGGAAACGTGGAAATTTAATTCATGTGAATTTTTGTTCTAATTGATTTTTGCCCCATCAAATTAACATTCATTAGTGAGATGATAGCTCGATCAAAGCAGACTTATCTGATAACGAATTGATAAAACTCAGCAAAGTCTGTATTATTCACCAACCACTGCAGTGACCATTTGTGTAGAAGGTGGAGGCGGTGGTGAAGATCAAGTTTATTCTACTGGATAAATTAATTATTGTGTAAGCGGGACTGAATGCATTGTATAGTGGTTCGGAATAGTTATTAGTGCAATTGGTGTGTTGGCAGAGGTTGATTCTTGGATCGGCAAAGACAATTGTAAATTTTATGACAGGGAGCTATCAGTTCCGGATTTGAAGTTGTACTACATTTAATACCTTTTCAATTACGTATTCAATAATTCAACATTTAACTTGAATTAATTAATGTATACAATGAGTGTTTTCTGTCCTATAACTTCAGATAATCACTGAAATGTCGAGCCCGAAGGAATTTCTAATTTAAAATAAAGAAGCCCAAAGAATCATTCTCCATCATTTTGTTTCATGTGCACTGCGCAGGTGATATATAGGAGATGGCGTCCACCACAACCG